TGTATTACAAAGTTGTATTGAGAAAGAATAAACTAGTTTTAATTAAGAAAGGACTTGTATCGCTGAAGTTCCTTTATACTGGAAATTAACAAACGAGCAGATACGCAACAATATTTTGCTAAAACACATAAGACAGTCAAAACTACAACTTTTACAGTCGAAAACTGCAAATTTTACAGTCAAAACTGCAACTGTAGTTACCACAGCCGTATCACAATAACTAAAACTATAATGGCAGTGACAAAAAAAAACATTCACTCATAAACTAATGTCAGGTTTTTTATGATATCGTAACACTTTTACACAAAAAAGTCATCACAAAACTGCTACCACAGTCATTTAGGGCAATATTGAATTACTACTTTATTCCTGCATATCTATTTTTAATTAATGATATAGTTAACAAATAAAACTAAAATTCTTTAACAGAGACAGTTCTTACACTAAAGACATCTAATTGTAAATTATTTTTTGTTAGCACCCTCTATAACTTACAAAAATATCTTACAACCATCTAAAAGTAGACACAATTTATTATTCCTCCAGTAATTTATCTACACTCTCAGCCAGTACAGTTCTGCATTCCATTTTATATTTGAACATTTTAAATTCACTGACAAATTTTAGTTGTTAACAAATCTTTTAAAATGCTGTCTGTCACAAAGCCCAGTTCTTCCCTATGAAATCACCATAATTTTCCTTTTTCATTGAATTCACTTTTATAAGCTTTTATAAGCTGTGGCTTCTTTAGGAACATCAGAATTAACAAATTTTCATATCAGTCCTCTGATATCATATTTCATATTATCACAAAGGAAAAGCAGCATAGGATTTTCTATTTTTATAAGCAGTAAGGAATGGAGAAATATAATTAGTGACAGGAAGAAAAAATTATTTTAACAGTAATAAACAGGCTCTCATTGCACATTGCCTGTTTCAAAGGATCTACATTTTTGGATCAGCTTACTTCTTTTTGGTTACCTGTTTAACATACTTAATGACAATATGCCAAATTTCAAGTGCATTCTCTGCTACCAAACACTTTACAGTCACTAATGATGAAAAATTTCAAAAGAAGAGCTTTTTGCTACCTGTGACTATGATATAATCTTACCTCTTAGCTGTGGTATTTTTGAACAGCCAATACATACTAGATAGCAGTTTGGTGATTTCCAAATTATACACAAAAAAACATACCCCTAAAAACTCCATTAACAAATACACAGTCTGTAACTTCCCATGTTTAACAACATTGTATTAGTCTGTTTTTAATTGATTTTGAAACAGATCAACAAATTTTCCAAATGACCATCCATAGACACCTGAAAAAGGTTGCATAGATTGATTTTCGAATAAAGTACTAAACTGTAACCACAACTTCACCCAAGAATTCTGGTAAGCAAAAAATTCACACATGAATACACTTGACTGACAAGGCACTGAGCCAATACAAAAACATGAACAGTGCACTTAATAGAGTTAGGATTTATACAATATATGTTTAGTGGCTGGGGCTTGAAAATTTAGAAGCAACAAGTTAACTTTCTAAAAAAAATCTAATTAAAAAAATCCATGACCCTATAATAAAATGCCAATTTTCCAGTGTATTTCAGGACTGGATTTTGTTAAGGCAGTTTTCTAGGACTTTCCAGGTTTTCAAGCACCTGTACAAAACCTGACTCAAATACTAAGCTAACTAAAACTCTTAAGTTCTAAATCCATATACTGGGTTAACTAAAGCTCTTTAGTCATAAATCCCTATACTTAGCTAACTAAAACTCTTTATTGATGACATTTTTATAGAATGCAAATTGTACAAGGTTATAAAACATCCAATTAAATCAGGCCAATCATTTGTTTTTAATTTCTCCTTGTAGATATTGCTTTATTGAATTACTCCATATTCTTGAATTAGTCTAGCAGAATATTTGTACAGGAAATTGTCAAATTATACAGTAACAAAGAGGAAACCCAGTTCTGATTTATTTCACTTAAATTTCAGGCAGGATTATAAATTATTTTATTGACAATATTGAACTATTTAGTAAAAGTGATTAAAGAAAATTTGTCATATTTTTTCACTACTGTTTACTGTTTCAATATTTGAAAACCATTGGCTCTGGAAGTAATACTTGTTTCAATTCAATGGTAAATATTTAAATTGGTAAATATCTGTTATAAATTAATGAATATATACAAAAGTAAAACAGAAAACAATATAAAATATATATAACCTATATCAAACACGGAAGATAACTTCACCAATAGAAAGATACCACAACATCTGCAAGATACTGTTCAGTATGTTATTTTAAGTGTAACAGAGTTATCACTTAACAATATGTACAGTTAATTAGAAAAAACAAATGTTCACTTTATTGGCTATACCTTTAGAAGATTATCATAAACATCAAGTCTTTCTTCAACTCTAGTGGTTTCATCAATTGCTGCCTGTAACATCTGCATGATACCTTGAACTCGCTGGTCAGATGCCATGATGGTATGAACATTTTCCTAGAAATATGTTACAAATTCATGACTCACCTGAACCATAAAACAATCTTCTTCTATATGTCAGAGTTTAACCACAAAATATTCTTAATGGATCAACTAGATAAAGTTTCAGAAGTTGGGAATAGTGATATACAAATAAAGAAATAGCAACATTTCTAAAGCATCTCCTAATTCTAGTACTTACAACTAACAAGCACTTCTTCATTGCTATGTTTATAAATAAACAATTCTCCCAGTGCCAGGTTTATTTTTATATACAGAAATAAAAAAAGAAGACACAATTTAATATTTCATTATTTTTGTAATACTATAAACGAATAATTTTTAAGAAGATTACCCTTTACTCATGGTGACACAAATTCCAAACTTACATAGCTATGCTCTTGACAAGGCTATAGGTGCTTATGACAGTAGACAAGATAAAGCAAGTTTCCTTCATCATCTCTTCTCACAGTATTTAAATTTGACCATATGAGCATCCTGCTGATATTATGTGAAACCTAAACACTTCAAGGAACTTTGCTTTAACTCAGCCTACTATTAGTACATGCAATCTAGTTACTATTCAAAGCTACTCTTCTTTAGCCTATCCTAAAGCTGATACTAAACATTTACCTACATAAATAAAGCAAGTTTCTTTCAATAATAACAAAATAACAATAGTGTTTAGAAAATAAAAAGTTTGTTAAAAAAATGACAACACTCCTGGGCTAGATAATATTTCCTCAAGGGTTTTGAAGGAGGTTAAAGATTGCAAGATTGAATACTGGGCAGGTATCAAAATATTGGAAGTTAGCTAATGTAACTCCTCTTTTCAAGGGAGGTGATAAAAATTGTCCCAGTAATTATAGGCCCATTAGTCTTACATCAATTGTGTGAAAATTCTGGAAAGTGTATTGAAAAATGCTTTGCAAAGCCATTTAACAAAGTTTAGAATTTTATTGGATGGTCAAAATGGTTTCACTAAGGGAAAATCTTATCATAAAAAATCTTCTGACATTCTTTGAAAAGGTTACTGCTTATGTAGATGAGGATACAAGTGTAGATTTGGTGTATCTGTATTTTCAGAAAACATTTGACAAGGTGTCACATAAAAGGCTTGTTAAAAAAAACCATCTCTTTAGGTGTGGGGGATAAGTTAGCAAATTGGATAGAAGAGTGGCTGGATGGAAGAAAGCAGAGAGTTGTTACAAATGGAGTTCAGTCAAATTGAATTAATGTTACAAGTGGGGTACCTCAGGGCTCAGTCTTAGGACCTTTGCTCTTTTTGATTTACATCATGACATAGATGAAGGAATAGTCAATAAATTCCCTTAATTTGCAGATGATATTAAGGTCTTGGGTGTTGCTATCTGTGAAGAAAAATGCTGCTGATTTACAAAAGGATTTAGATTATTTAGTGAGTTGGACAAATAAATGGCAGATGGGTTTAATTATAAATAATGCATGTGGGTTATCATAATTTGAATTATAGGCATAACTTGGATGGGAATAACCTTAAGAATATCATGAAAGAAATGGATCTTGGTGTAAGAGTCGATCAGTATATAAAGCCATCCAAGCAGTGTGCTATTGCTAGTGGCAGGGCAAATAGGATTTTAGGTTGTATCTACAGAAATATTGAATACAAGTCTAAAGAGGTTATAATTTCATTGTACAGGTCACTGGTTAGGCCACATTTGGAGTATTGTGTTCAGTCTTGGGCTCCTTACATTAGGAAGGGCATTGAATTGTTGGAAAGGGTTCAGAGAAGGGTTACTAGAATAGTGCCTGGGTGAAGGGCTTGTCTCAAATTGTTTTCTCTTGAAAAAAGAAGAGTTAGAGAAGATATGATTGAGGTGTTTAAGAGTGCAAGGGGAATTGACAGTGTTAATGCATCATCTTTTTTCATACCTAACAGTGAGAATAGTAGGACTAGGGGACACAAATATACATTTTGGCAGGGTAGGAGTCATCTTCAGCTCAGACAGTTTCATTTTCCTAACAGGGTGGTTGGCCTTTGGAATGGGTTGCCTTCAGATGTTGTGGAGGTAGTACATTTATAGAAGTTTAAGAAAAACCTTGATAAGTACAAGAATGATATGGGCTAGCTTTAAGATTTTTTTTTAATTATATTAATTTAGTTTAGAGGATAGAACAGCTGAGATGGACCAATAGGTCCCATGTTGTCCCAAAACATTATGTTATGGTAAAAAAAAAGTCTTCTGTCCACCTGGTCCTCAAGGATTTTTAAATTCCAATGTTACATAGCTCCTTAAGGTAAAATGGGAAAAATTACCCAGGCAATTTTTTATCATCTGTTTGAAGAACAATGTTACTCCAAAAACATTACTTCCAAAAATATTGAACAAGAATCAATGACTTCCTTTAAGGAACCTTAAAGAAACCATTTTAAAGAAAGGACTTAGGAGATAAATTTCAAAATTAATGAGGCCTTTTATGTGTCATGTAAAGCAGCATGCATAACACAAGAATGTACAGCTACATAATAAAAAATATTACACCAAACAGATCATGCTGCAATATCAAAGAAACTCAAGCATGAAGATGAAAGACTCAAGAAAAAATTTAGTAATTTGTTTGACAACTGTTATGGTACAAAGCTTCATGACCTGATAAAAATGTTTTAAACTTATCATCTCATAATCTCAATTGTTATGGTGTAATTGGTATTTAGAAGCTGGTGAAGCATGATATAATTATTTATATTTGTCCTAAAAGACATTACATCAGAACTATTATTTTCCTAATCTAGTCCCTTACAGGTTTTCATGAATTAGAAGAGCATATAATAATTGTATTTCAACCACACTATATTTGTCATATCCATTGCCAATGACACATTTTGCTCAATCCACAGCTCTTCGGGTTCAATGGTATACAACAAACACAGTAGTGACTGGAATACTATTTATATAAGCTAGCAGAATGGTTAAAAAATATAATAGGCCTAACATAATGTTTAATGACAAATATAATCAAATAATCTCATAACCTCACCAAGATAGAATGAACTGCCCTAAGTTATGGCTTATTCTTTTCCTTTAGGAATGCAAACCTGAATATAAACTGAGTTTTGGACATTGTTAGGTCAGCCAAGGACAACAAGTAAAGGTATGAGCTTCCTAACTAATTGCATATCTAGTACATTATGTAATAATAATAAAAAGGACAAGTCATCCTTCTCCCACTGATTTTCTAAAGCAATAAGGATTTTAAAATTGAACAAAAATATTGTAATCATAAAGTCAGACAAAATGACCAAATCCTCACCTTAGATAAAACTGTTTATGAAAGGAAATTAGAACTTGTTATGTAAAGGTATGTTTAGGAGAAATTAAGCTCCAATCTCTTACCAAAGAAGATGTTTGACTTCAACAGCTTACTATATACAATTCTTGCTGGTTTACCCAGATCTTTCAGAGAACTTAAAACATATTAATGCTTCGTTACTATACATGTATGGTTTTGCCTAAACCACAAAATGGAGACTATCCCATTAACCTATAAATTCTAACATGGTGTGTGTGTCACACATTCTCTATATAAAAAGTTGACAGAATGTCTCTTCCTAGTTGTTGGGAAAAATCTCATCATTGCATATCCAAAACAGTGTAGATTTTTGAACAAAATTAATTCACAGGCCAAAATAAAGGAAAAATGTTAAGTTTTGATGATGATACTTTATTTACCAATGTGCCAGTTGATAAGATCATAATATTTCTTAAAAGAAAATTACTAAATTGAACATATCTTCTGGATCTCAATAGCATTTTTCTTACTTTTATCAAAAATCTGTATAAATATTAATGTATTTATTTGTCTTGGTCAATATTTTAGACAAAAATATGAAACTGTCATGGGAAGTTAAATTTTCCTACATTGAAAATGTTTTTCTGATATATTCTTAACTCTATATGCACACATTTTTCTTCACCACTAGCCTTAATACTCTCCTACCCTCACATGTTTTCATATGAGGCAGCTGCATGGTAACATGCAACAAAGCATGCGAGGACCTCCACCAATAGGAGTGCGAGATAACTTTTAGCATAGCTGACTCCCTCTATACAGCTTAGTTCAACATGACTTTGAGAGTGAGCAACAAAAAAAGAAATAGACACCAGAAGTAGGGAGGAAAGATGGAAAGTGTGAAAAAAGGTAAGAACCTATCGGAAATACATTTTCAGTATAGAAAAATGTTAACTTTCAACATAATACCTTACCTCCACTCAAATAACAGTTAGAATCCCACACTGACCTGGTGGAGTGACCAGTGTAACATTACCTAGATGAGCCCTATTCAGAAAGGGCCTGAAGGAAGCTTGTGGTGTGTGTGAATGAAGAATATGTAAAATACCCATGGTAGATCGCACCACTTCTGAGCTAGGCATACTCTTTATCCATGAAAGCAAATTGTCTCAATAAGAGCAAAATCATGGGAGGAACCCCATAAATTAAATGTAAGGACCCCTGGTGTAGAGTGGCTAAGGTGCGACAGACCATCATAAGGAGTTCTACCTCAACCAACAACAACTGAATCATGATATTAATACCCAGCCCACAGTAAGAAGAGGGTCTAATACTGTTCATCTTGGACATGGGAACTGGAAAGTCTTCCATTCCAAGGACTTGCATCATGATGTGTGAATGTCCAACAAAACCAACACCAATATTCCCCAGGAACTAACATCTGAACGACAGTAAAAAGGCAAATACAATATAGCAGTTCAACTCCAGTCCAGATTCAGTCCACGGTAGGAGAGGGTATCTGGGCCACTCACATGTGAGGACTTTTGTGGTTGGTCCAGCTCCAACCAACACCAGTACACCCCAGGAACCAACATCCAGAAAACAGTAGAAAGGAGAGTGTCCAACTGGAGGGGTGAACTGCATTGTAGCAGAAATCATCCAGTCTATAACCACACAGCATCTTGAAAGAACATTAGGTCTGCAGTAGGAGGAGTGTCTATACACCATCTACACCAGCAGAACACCAC